TCTGTAAGACCGTGCATTCATTCAGGTCGAGCCGGCGCCCTTTCGTGCCGAAGCTTGACTCACTGATTAGAGAACCGGTGCAATATAGAAACATGCTATAGTGAAATTATAGATTTAGTGTTTTTAGAGTTTGGATCAGGATACATAATGTTCGATGTCTAAGAAAAATTTTGAAACTAAGCAGAATCATTTCAAAAACGTATAACTACACACATTCAAAAAATACGAGAATTATGAAGCTATTTCCTTGAGTTTTTCCCTATTCGCGTAACAAGTGTGCAACTACCAGTTGTGGCCTTTGAATAAGCAACATATTGCCAGCCATAAAGGCTTTAGAGGTTTTAGAATCCGTGAAAATACGAGCTGAATTTATTTCTCATATCTAAAGTAAGGGGTTTGCCTTCAGACATAAAGTGAAAGAGCTGCTGAAATGCGTTTATGCTACGTGAATTACGGAAATGGTCGTCTAATTTTATTTTTTATTTTAGATTAACTAATATACGTTCTTTTGTTTATTATCTGTGTGTACAGAAATGTATGCAAATATACATTTTTGGTAGCCTAACAATGCGTTGCGATTTATGGTTTTAATTTTTGAATGATATAAATTTGTATTCGTACCTACTGATATATTCGTATTGCTAGATTTTAAATATTTATTTTTATGCTGACCCTCTTCTACTAACTCACACGTTTTTTAAGCAAACTCATATTTAAACTCAAAGTCAGTTATTTCAATTAAACCATAATTTGATACTTTTGAAACGTCAACAAATATAAAATAAATAATAGTCTGTCAGTCTGTCCGTCAGTGAAGCTAGGCGCTCGTTCCAAAATGTCGATTCGAGTGGAGAAGGATGAGCAAGAAACTCCATTCGTCATTCTTTTGAAAAAAAATCTGTTTTACACTGTTCTGATACATATTCCAATATTATTAAGGGGGGAAAATCATCCAATGTCTTCTCCCGCCTGGGTGAGGTGAAAGGGATTGTCAGTCTCTTACTGACTAAAAACCACCCCGTTCGTAATCCAACCCATTAAGTCCGTGGTTCTGTAATGCCTGGACTCACACTATGACTTCTTTTATTTCATAGATGCATTTTATTTTTATAAATAAACACATCATACACAACAGAATTAAAAAAAACCGAAACAAAAATATTTACTCTTCTAGCTAAAACTACAACAAAGTAAACAAACAAAAGGATGGAATCAAAATATCGTAAACCGTATACTGGCATCGTGTAGCGGGGAATAAAAACTAAAACACCAGAACAGAGCAAGTAAATAAAAGTTAAACTGCGCTTAAACCGACAAGGTTGCTCTATCTAATTACTAAGGCACTGGGATTTCTGAATCCAGGTTTTTGGTTTGGAGAATTAACTTACATAGTGTTTTGGTTTTAATTATAATAACAAAGTCTGTGAAGTTCTTATTAACTTGTTGGTTCATTGGTTATAATATATGCAAGTTTTTTTTTTTGATGGACCAACGTTTGATCTCTATCCCGCCTGGTGGTAAGCGATGATGCAATCTACGATGGAGCACGTGGACCAGCAAGCTATTCACTCGGATTATGAAGTCTTGATCTTTTCATATAATTCTTTGGAGACTATGCAATATAATTTAATTATCCCGTAAGTTTGTTCCTTCTAAGCGACTAATGAGAAAGGAATTTGGGGATTCCTATAATATTCAGCAGTGGCGTCTTGTGGCTGATGATGATGACGTGTAAAAACGTCTTAGAATAAAATGTATAAGACGATTCTTACTTTTTTAAGTTCAAAACCCAGTCCTAAACACACGTACTTAAGTTCACTTCATCTTCAAAATATGTACTATAATCTACGGCTTCAGATAAATCTCATGTTATGTTATGTCAAAAGAACCAACCAATCTTCAGGACCATTTTCGTCAGATTTCTTTCTTTTTTGTACTTTCCTTTTGAAGTCGTAGATTAGACTTTACGGACCGCCCCAAAGACAGATGTGGCTTCAGTTAGATGTTATTAGGAGGTTCCCTAAGCCATTACTAGTTTTTTACGGCTCCAACTATGTGTAAAACACTCACAAAATGCTTCAATGAGATATTTTCGGGAGTTACTTTGTTAGTGGCATGTAATGTGGACATAAATCCGTGTTACTGATTCAACTGGCTTGTTGGTTCAGTGGTTATCTTATCACGAGGGTTCATGAGTATAGCAAAAACATGTAAACTAGTTTTTCTGATAAATATAAGGAAACGCAGTGCATAAGTATGGTGGTCTAACAGTATATTCTTCTTGTAATTGGAGCATCTGGCCTCTGACCGATTGTGTTTTTTTTTTGGGGGGAAAATCATCGAATGTCTTCTCCCGCCTAGGTGAGGTAGGGGGGAGTGTCAGACTCTTACTGACTACAAACCACCCCGCTCTTAGTCCTGCATTTCTAGCCGGAGCCTCGGTGAACTTTTATGTTCTCCGCGGCTCCGTATCGGCATCAGCCTTATTGACCGATTGTGTTGGCTTGATATTTCTATGTATTAGAAGTGTGAAAAATATTTAAACGCAAAAAGTTTGTAAATACATACGGCGTTATGAGTATATTTTATTAGCTGCGTCGCTAGCTACTAAATGAAGCATTACGTCAATATAAAAACTGATGAAATTGTTCTATGATTCGAATATTTACGGAGATACTTACCTATAATAACTTCTACACTGAATCAAGGTTTACATAGTAATTTAAGCTACACGACAACTAAAACAGCGAGGTAGGCAACCATAGATAATATAGAGGAAATTATAGATAAGGTTGGGAAGTCATTAGTAATATTTATCTTTGTTTCGCGGCGTGGATAATGAGAGAAACGATTTATTATAATGAAAATGTAGATACAAAAAATACATACAAAAGATACAAAAGATATATCAAACAAAAAACCATTTACCTAATTAATAATTTAAATAAAAGAAAAAAATATTTTAGGGATTCCAGTTTATATACTAGTTCTTGGTATTATACAAGGCATGATACCTTGATTTTTACTCTCAGATAATTCAGCATATTATTAGGTTTAAATTCTAGAGCCTATTGTGTCTGGTGCTTAGCAATGGACTTGTCCAACATAAAGAAATTCGTACCATAACTAAATGTTACGGGATAGTTACAGCTTTAAAACCATATAACGTCTAATGACGCAAGCGTTATACATCATGAAAGGTATAAAACACAAAAAACACAAATTAGCAAAAACAAAATACAAAACAAAAATCAAACCTCTGGTTTTTCACAATTTTCACATAATAAAGAGAGAAAAACAAAAAGAAACCATTTCGCAAAGTATTTCCATTCCTTATTATGTTTCGGAGTTGTTTTTATAATTACACTTTTTATCGTTCACAATAAAATTGCCAGGTAAAGTAAGCCAGTCGGATTCCTATTGTCCAAAATTTTCTTTTTTTTTTCATGCAGACAAAAAGCCAATGAAAACTTTTTTGAATGGACCTTCAAAATAGACCTTATCTTGAAGTTCTTCACGCTCTATTTAATGTAGGGCGAGTTGAATTAGTGTCAGGTTGAGGCCAGTAAACAAAACAATGTTGAATAGATCAGGCTGAGCAGAGAGGTCAAGCTTACAGCACGTTATACAAGCGAATATTGAAAAGAATTTTTATATTATTGATGTATACAAAAAATACAATCGAATAAAATACTGGGTGTTATGAAAAATATGTCAACCTGTGAATACTTCCTTGATGAATAAAAGATGCGCTACTGATGTATATTATGCAATAGGAATAAATCTAGTTTAATAAATTACCTTTATTTGAAGTTTGAACCGTACGAGTTTTGTTCAGTAACTATTGATCTTAATTTAGTTGGGCGGAAGCCAGAAGTAAGACAGCATAAAATGGTTAAGCAATAAAAAAAAAATTTTGAATTTTGATAAAAATTTACCAATTACATTTTACGAGCACTTTCATAGAAATGTATGTCTATAAAATATTCTGATGCAAATACAAAATAATGTTTTAATAATCGAGTCTATAATAGTAAAAGTTAACCAATACCTTTAAAGTTACTGCAATAAAACCAATCGAACTACACGTTCATTACCCAATTTCTCGCTACATGCTCAGAAAATACAATCCAGTATTATACTTATTGATTGGAAACTTTACCCCAAAATTCATTAAAACACTTTATTTACTATGCCCATGAATTTCTAACTCAGTAATTTCGTTACATTTTCAATTAATACTGCCGAGAACTTTTACATTATTCATTGACTTCCAATGTTGAGTTTCCCTATTAGGATGTCATATTTGATTGACGTCACGAACCAGAATCGATTTATGATCAGATATTGGTTTTTGATAAAATAAATTACCAATACTGACACCACAAAAACGTACCTTAAATTTACATCAATCCACAAAATCATATCCGTATTAAGTTTGAAAAGAAACTCACTTAAAAACACGTTATTCTCTAAAACCCGAAAGTCATCATTCTTTATTCTCATAAAAATCAGTTTTTGCCTTACACGCTCGATACAACATTTTGTCTAGAAGCTTACTTGTTTTATTTTTATTATAACGGCTGAGACACGATAACATTATTTAAGACCTTTATCAAAAGGTAGATCGCTTCGCAAAAGAAAATTCTATTTTACTGGTAGCATAGAAAATATCTTTATAATACACCGTATCCCGTTTACCGTTCCCAAGAGCTGGATCCTAAAAGAAAATGAACCAAAGATAAAGGATTCACGCTCATTGATTTAAGGACACTTCTAGAAAAATTGAGTGGAACATGCCAAAATATAAATTGATTGGAGGATTTTCAGAATTTTTGCCTCCAGTCCTTTTATTTGAGCCTCAGTATGGAAAAGAAAATCTTTTTCATACGACCTTAAGTGAAATTGTCTCTGTTGGTTTAAATAATGATTATTTTAATGAGAAAGATGTTGCGTGTAATAAATTTGTATTTAAAACATGCAAATCAAATTAACATTTAATAGATCTTCAACGTACTTCCCAAATGATTTATCGAGGAATATCAATAGAAAGGTCTGCGATGATATAAGCTACTGCTGTCCAGAAAGCCGCTCCAAGATCAAGTTCGTCTGGGTTCTCAACGTTCATAGTGTCAGCTTCAGTATGATGGAACCAAAAATATTTTCCATTGTCATTATGAAGACTAGCTCCCGGTATACCATTACCAGTAAATATTGCAATATCAGAGCCAGGACTGTTTTCTTCTACAAGAGTTGAAGCATTTATTGATTTGAATAATTTCAAAATTTCGGCAATGATGCATCGAGTTTTTTGAGTGCCACCTACAGCTAAACCAAGAGGAGCAAACGTTCCTTCATCAGACTCCATTATAAAATTAATGTTGTCACTTTCATTTCTATGTGCTTTCTCATAAGCGTAGGCGCCTATCAGACCTAGTTCTTCTGCTGTCCAAAAAATAGCTCTTACTGTTCGTTTTGGTGTCAAGTTCAGTCTCTTTAAAATCACGGGTGCAGCCCAACTGACGAACATACCACCACCGTCATCCATAGCTCCTTGACCTACATCCCAACTATCAATATGCCCTGACACGATTACTAACTTTTCAGGGTATTGTGATCCTTTCCAATCAATTAGCGTATTTCTTGAAGTCTTATTTTCGTCTAGTTTTGAACTCATTTTTATATTTAGAACAACTTTTTCACCTTTGTCATACATTCTCGTAATTAAATCAGCGTCTTCTAAGGTGATTGCTGCTGTTGGTATGGGAATCACACCATCTGCGTAAGTTTGAGAACCAGTGTGAGGAGTATACAATGAGTAGGGAGTGATCGACCTCACCAAACTTGCAATAGCTCCTTTTGCTGATGCCTTAGATGCTCCTTGAGACCTATATGTTACAGTTTCTCCGTAAGCCGTAAAGACAGGAACATATAGCACAATTTTACCTTTGATTTTGTCTTCAGAGATACTTTCTAACTCCTCAAAGTTACGTACTACGACAACTTCACCCGTGAGCCCTTCTAGTGGTGTAGTGGCACTTTTACCGAGACCTAATAGAGCAATGTCCTTTTCTCTTGGTTCAAGCATAGTTATTTTCTCTTCACCTCTTTCCCAAAGAGGTACCTATAAGGAAATTAAATTTTAAGTTTTACATTATAGTATAGCAACTCTAATATGACTTAATCTATAACGAGAAATGTAAATAAATTATTTCTATGTTCAATTAAAATATAGTGCAATAAATCTCACCTTAACTTCTTCGGTGATGACATCATTTAAGCCTTCTTTCTTTGTCAAATCGATCATGTAATCAATAGATTTTTCAAGAACATCAGTTCCTGAAGGTCGAGCTCCAAACTTATCAACAAATTTCGCCAATCTGTAACACAAAACCACCATTTACATTTTATAAATCACATCACTTAACGAATCTACACTAGTGTCATGCCCAAACACTCACTCATCATAAGTTTTGCCTTTAAAATCACCGTCCAAAACATATTTCAGTATATCATCCTTAACATTTTTGTAAGACCATATCTCTTCAATCAAATCATCGCCTAAAATGTCTTCGCATGTATTTGATGTTTTTTTCAGAACCTTGGCTTCATTCGGAAGGATAACAAAAAGGGTTACAATGAAGACAATACTATCGAAATTCATTTTTCTTCCAGCGTCTATCAGACATTGAGATGTATTGATAAATTGAGAGCTCTTTTGTACTGCGCCTATCTTATCTGTATTGATGGCCGACTGTCTAAAACGTATTTACCAGGGTTGGCGAATCTTTACGTATTTTTGTGCTAGTTTGTGAAGAAACATTTATTGACGTTATTGACTGCCTCGTTGGCCGAGTGGTCGCAAGTGTGACTGCCGGGCAAGGGGTCTCGGGTTCGATTCCCGGTTCGAGCAAAGCATTACTAGGTTTTTTTTAAAATTCTCAGTAGTAGCACGGAGTCTGGAATTGTGCCCGGTATATGGCAATAGGCTCACCCTTTATTACATGGGATTCATAACATAAATAGTGAAAAGTGGGTGTTACATTGTACAGTGGCATAATGTGCACCTCTGCCTACCCCTTCAGGGATAAATGTTATTTATTGACGTGACTTCGACTAGGCCATGGGTTGACAATTAGAGTAGAATGCATTTATCACTGCCTGTACCCTTCCCATAGGCAAGCTATAGGATTAGATACATAGTTGACGGATTTGAGCAGCGCTCTGTAATAAACCTGATACTTTTAAACTGCGATTCCCATCATGCATCATGGAGATTATGACAAACCTCTTTTCTGAAAAGGACGCCTGTAGTTTAGTAGACTGGCACAGTCTGTTGATGTTTTTTTTTTTTTTTTTTTTAAATCTTACATTTCTTATTCTCCACGGACTCTTGTCCGTGCCCTTGTCATTCCATTACATTTTCTTTTAATTTACAGTCAAAATTAATTGTTACAAAAATCTTACGTGCTACATTAACCACATTTTTTTTTTCATAAAGAAGGTCTGTTGATGTTTAAATGGCATGGAAAACCAACAGCCATACAAATTGATAAAAAAATATGGGATGCAACAAAAAACCAATTACTGGTTTCCACGATAGTCACAGAGAACAGAAACACGCTAAAGTTTGACGCACCGCTAAAGTTGATGTACCAAATATTTGACATCCCTACTCCATACGATTACTCGTAACTTTGATAGACATTTAATACTCGAGAGACTTGAGAGTATTTTGTATGGATTTCACTGATATCTTATCAAATTGTGTGTGAAATTTCAATTGTACGCACGCCACTTTATTTCGACATTTCGGATTACAAGTTTAAGTGCTCGATAGATATGAGATGTAAATGTTTTGAAGTAACTGTGAGTTGTTGTTTTAGAATTGTTGGTTTTGTTATGCTGAATAATATTATGTGTTATCTGTCATATTTATCACCTAGATTTGTATGGTTTAAAGTTTTGAAAACTAAAGAAAGAATTATTATTCTATAATCGGACCGGGAGTTTTTGCGTGATGTGTAACAATACAGACGACAGACAAAAATAATTTTAATCGAATTTTTGGTTTTGGTTTCCGTAACATTTATTTTTGTTAAGTTATAAATTGTATAAATATTTTTATAGAGTATTGTATACTCTTTGGTATTATTTATGGTTTGCATGGACGTTGTTTTCTTTTTCTGATTTTTGTTTTGTGGTCAATGGTCTGATTGTTTTTGGTTCTCACTGATAATAAAACGAGAAATAAAAGTGTTCCATTATATCATCGAATTCTTATTTAATCCGGAAATATTAGTAAAATCCCAATAATTTTCCCCCACTATTTATTTTTGTAATATTTTCAAGGTACAGTATTTACACTTCTTCAGTTGTATTATATGTATAGATATAGATTTATTTATACTAAAATATTACATTATAAAATCTTAAACACTAAAATAAATAAAAAAAATAATTTAATGCCACTATACTATGTATGTAACACCAACTTCACTATTTATGTTATGAGTCCCATCTAGTAGAGGGTGAGCCTATCACCATATACCGGGCACTATTCCAGATTCCTTGCTATCACTGATATTATTTTAAAAAAAACCAGTAGTACTTTGCCCGACCCGGGAATCGAACCCGAGACCCCTTGGCCGGCAGTCGCACTTGCGACCACTCAGTCAACGAGGAAGCCTCTAAGATAGTATATAATATGTGTATGTTAAACCACATAATTATAATTAAGTTAAACAATAGACATACATACATAAAACAGCTATTGAAATAGATTATCGCCAACGGATGATCTATTATTAATACTTATTAGCTATTTACATTTTATGTACTGTTATTATGCATGCAATAAATCACAAAACACAATGTAAAGAATTAACAAATGTAATAAAAATTATGTATCATTGTGTAAAATTTATTTTGAAAAACCTATTACATAACATCACGCCTTTTGTCTCCGAAGGGGTAGGCAAGGGTGCACATTACGCAGTACTGTACAATGTAACACCCACTTTTCACTATTTATGTTATACGTCCCATGTAATAGGGAGTGAGCCTATTGAAAAAAACCTATTAATGTAGACAAAACAAAATAGTATATTTATGATGTTTTATGCACGAAATGTCACTAGACTATGCACTTATTACTCCTTCTATCTTCGCCTTCACATATTTTTTGTTTTTCCGTTTGAAAATAGAGGTCAACATATTAAGGAAAAAAGAAATCAGGCAACTCCTTACAAGCATATTTGCGTAATAGTCGGTGAGTTTAAGTTATACAACTTTAGGTACGTAGCCATAAGTCGTTCTCTTGATAGAAAGTAATGCCCACTTCCTAATTGTATAGCTATATCACTACATATATAAAACAAAGTCGCTACACGCCATCTGTCTATCCCTATGTATGCTTAGATCTTTTAAAGCAGGCACCGGATTTTTTGATGCGGTTTTTTTATTACATAGATACATATTTCTTAAGGAAGGTTTATATGTATTACATATGCCTTAGAAACTTCCTTCCGTCTACTACCAAGGCACGGCTCGTGCAGGCCCTGATTTTTCCTATCATCGATTATGCTGATGTGTGTTACTACGACCTGAATGCAGATCTACTCAACAAAATTGACCGTCTTCTAAATAACTGCATTCGATTCGTTTTCAATTTACGTAAATATGATCATGTTTCTGCACATCGGTTGCAATTAAAATGGCTGCCCATACGCCTGCGCAGGCAACAAAGGGCGTTAACTACTTTATTTTCTTTTCTCGACTCTCCTTCTTCACCTGTTTATCTAGCTTCCTACTTCCAATATACATGCGCAAACCATTCTAAATACCTTCGCTCATCTAATAACCGTCAACTTCAATGTCCCACTCACCGCACTGACTATCTTCACTCCTCCTTTTTCGTTCAATCTGTCTCTCTGTGGAACGCGCTGCCCAAGGAAATCAGAATGGCAAATAATCGCTGTTCATTTAAATTCAAGGTTCGGGAACACATTTATAGAAAGTGGCAAACTCAAAACAGTGGTAATATGTAGTCTATGTATTGCATTTATTTATATATGTATGTATTATATAGTAAATATATCATATTATATGTATGCATATTTGGGATATATATGTATTATATAATTAATTTTAATACCCTTAGTTATGTATTATCGACTATAACAATCATGTCTTCCCTCTTTAATATTTTATTACCTTAACTTCGTTATCTACTTCATACTTTCTTTTTACAATTTTGCACCTACCGCTTTAACATTCTGCACCACCCAATGGTCGACTGTCAGAAAATGCCTACGGCATTAAGTCCGCCAATTTGACTGTATGTGCAATAAAGTTTTAATAAATAAATAAATAAATAAATATGCATATTTTTTTTATTTTTTTTTTTTTTATTTAAAAACACAGGTAAGTATCTTATAATCTAAGCCCCACAAAACCGTTGGAATGGTTTGACTGCGGGGTCGAGTCGCTAGACATTACAATTAAATGTACTTATATTTAAATGTTGTACAGGCGTTGAAACTTATACTTAGGTACTTATTATTAGGACATTTCTAAATAATGTGACTTTAATTTTCGTTTAAACCTGTTCGAATTTGTTTCACTCCTTATGTCTGCCGGCAGACTGTTTAATAGATACGGTATTCTCTTTTTTAGTGTTCTATCACCAAAATAGTTGGTGACTCTGGGTACATTGTATCTACCAGCAGCCATAGTTCGTGTGTTTTGGTTGTTCTTTACATAAGATAAGTCATGCTCCTGAGTACGGTGGTGGTTAACTAATAATAGATATTTATGTTTGTAAGTAATCGGTAGAATTTTGCATATTTTAAATAATTTTCTATAGTCTCCTTTACAACTGCTTTTAGTTTTTTTAGTAACAAGTAGTTTTAAGAATCTAATCTGGAGAGCTTCCAATTTATCTAAATGTATTTTAAATGTTAACCCATAGCTGTCAAGAGCATAGCTCATGATAGAATCAACTAATGACATATAAATACATCTTAAAATATTAATAGGAACTTTAAAGCTTAGGTGGTACATTTTACTCAATAAAATTCTTAGTTTACTAGAAATATAGTCTACATGTTGTGACCAGGAAAAGTTACTATCTATTTTCACACCAAGGTAGGTTACACAGTTAACTGTTTCAATAGGTTCACATTTACAATCCAGTAAATTATTATGGTGACATGTATAGTCGTGGGTAAATAAGGACGGAATCACATTATGAGGTTGCAAATACGGCGAACGAATTAACATTAGTTTAGTTTTACTGGCGTTTAACATAATGCCATTGTCATGTGACCATTTAACAACAGCGTCTATATCTTGTTGAACTAGGTGACAGATATCATCAATGTTAGTTCCGGAGCGAAGTATGCACAGGTCATCTGCAAACATATAAGCTGAACAATGCTGCAGCACTCGGCACAGGCTGTTAACATGCATAAGGTAACAAATAGGTCCACATCCAGAGCCCTGCGCCACTCCACTCCGTACCTCGACTCTGTCGCTGAGAGCGCCCTCCACCTTTACGCGGTAGGAGCGCGAGGTGAGGTAATCACGAAACCACGGATTTAGTGGTTCTCCCACCCCGCACTCCTCCATTGCATTCAGGATGGTATCGAACTGCAGAGTGTCGAATGCTTTTTTATAATCAAAAAATATTGTAATAACAAATTTTTTATCATCTAAATAACTATTTATTTCGTCTGTAAATTTTGTAAGCAATGTATTTGTACTTTTTCCTTTTAAAAAACCGTGTTGACACTCATTGATTATATTATTTTTTTGTATGTAGTTACTTAATTGATTGACTATACACTTTTCAATGATTTTATCTATACTAGATAAAATGGAAATAGGTCTGTAGTTTGAAACATCTTTACGATCACCTTTTTTATGAATTGGACGGACTATTGCCTCTTTAAGCTTATTAGGAAATTTGTGGTTTTTGACAGTTAGGTTTATAAGTTTAGCTAAAACGGGGCTTACTTTATCAATGATTATTTTAAGGTCGGACATTCGCACGAGATCGCTTCCCG